TTCGGACTCGGCTCTCCGATTCCAAAATCCGATTATCCATTACTCCACCATGTGAAACATAGCGTGTATCCCATTAGCCATATTTTTTATAGAATCATCTATAATATTGCATAGAAAGCGAAGTCCTCTTTTTTTTTATCTTTCTTTTGCTTCTATCTCACCATAAATAAGTTTAATATATCGTAATATGTTTTACACCTTTACATTGCCGTTTTTCAAGATTTCAGTTCATGGCTCTTGAAATTCTCGTAACTACTGTCTGAAGCCAATTGGTCGAACATAAGTTCATATTTCAAACCTTCAAGATCAGATACAGCAGAAGGCGAATCTTAACATCGAAATAGGCACAGAAGATTATTTTTTTTTTTTAGGCTTAAGAAACTCTCAAAACCTTTTTACGCTTTGGTTGTACGTTTCTGAGTACATGCCTCTCCTAGGCTGGTTAATCTCTCTCACACACGTCTGATCAGGTATAAATGTATTTTTTTGTGCAACCCCAACAAATCAAATTCATGGTTTATACTGAATCTATTCTGAACAGGTCTTAGTTATAGCTTCTGCGTAAAAGCTGACACTCTGGCTTGATCAGAAGGAGATCCAAGTTTTAAACTCTCGTTCAAGATTTTTATGACTTCCTGCTACCACAAGAACAACGCTTCCTGAGCACTGTCACCATCCCGTTTTCATACTAGGCTTAGATCAAACCGAGGTTCTCAGGCACGTCCGCATGTAGAGATCGTCACCCGACGGCTGATATTTAAAAAATCGACCATTATGAGGTTCGAACCTGAATCGTAAGGCTAACATTCTAACCACTCGCCCACTCTTTTTTTCCATAAGAATTAATGTTAGTTGGACGACTTTTCGAATTACGGGGCAAAAGAAACCTTTACTGGTGTAATTCTTTAATAAAACCGAAACGGCCCTGGAGCGAGCATTCGTAAAATCACCGATACCTGCACCATTTATCATTTAAGAAAAAATCATTTAGCTTAAAACAAAGCAAGGATTTATACTCTCAATCATAGAATTATATTCACATATACTAAAAAAAAAAAAAAGAAGTTTTTCTTTGCTTAGGCAACACGATTTTAAACAGATAAAGACGACCACCAGGAAGGACTTTAATGAAACCCCAGACATCAGACAACACCCGTCTTTGTAGCCACAGACTGAAACGAAAGTATATTTGAAAGAAAATAACATTGCCAATTCTGAAAACACATTTAAGTAATAATGGTTTGTTGGAATCTTAAATCAACTAGAAGATCTCTGAAATAGGGCAAGCTTTAGAACAGCAATGTATAGATCATGGCCTGCGGGTTGCATCAAGCCCGCCAAAAAGATAGTATCCGACCCGCAAAAGCGTGAAATATTGAAATGAACAGCCATCTTTTCTCATCTTCAGTGACTGAAAATTTGTTTGTTTTGATTTTTTATAAAATTTTATTTTATTTTATTTTTTTTATTTATGATTTTGTGCTGAAAATTTCTCGGTCTGACGCATTTTTCAAAATCTGAACAAATGATCAGACAATTTAAAAAAAAAAAAAAATTAAAATTTAATTTTTAATTTCTTATGTTATGAATGGATTAGGGATTCTTGGTAGGGTCAAGGCAAGTTCAAAGCACTATGTTGTAAATGATGAGAGGTCCATTTTCTCTATTAAGGCTTTCGTTTCACCAAAGCGTTAGTCGTAAAGTAAGCCATCTCAAACACGTGTATCCACTAAATTTAAACTGTAAGCAATAACACACATACCCCCACACACACATATATATATATATATATATATATATATATATATACAAGAAAAATATGTAAGAAAAAATAAACCAAATTATCGGTAAGAACAACTATATATATATATATATATATATATATATATATATATATATATATATATATATATATATATATATATATATATATATGTGTGTGTGTGTGTATCACATTAAAAAAAAGCAATCACGAAAATAAATTCCTACTACTGTATCTACAAGCACATAACGACCGAAACGAATAAAACGTTTATAGTAACGAGATGTATATATCTTGTTCTTGAAAATATTCGTGTTATGCTATGATTTAAATTATATATTTATACACTTATATATTTTTGTTTTTTTAAAAAATATTTATTATTTCTTTTTATTATATTTCATGTTTTGATTGTTTCTTTTCGGATTCTGCTGTCAACCTGATTTTTCTGACTAAGGTTAAGGGCGCATGACCCAGGTCAGTGGAGATGGATTACCTTCCTATTGAATCGCAATGCAGTTTCCGTCGTCGCATCTCGTTTAATATTGCATACAAAAATGACTCATCTCACAAAATACACACATCCACGCCAGTGTTATTTTTTTCTTTTTCCCATCCTTGTCGGCCTTGGGGAGGCCTCTTTGGAAGGAAAGCTTTATGTCACGTGGAACCCCACAGAAAAAAAATCAACCTGCCTTTGTCTTCTAGTATTCTCTTTAATAAAAATCCTAGTTTAGGCAGACAGCAAATATAACCTACTTTGGAAAAAACCGGATCGTGTTCGATATTTAATAGGCGTCCCAAATGTGTAGTCTTGTGTCTTACATTAAGCTTACAGCCCGCCACCTTGAAGTAATGGTTAACAAGCTAGTTGCATAAACCGTTACATCTATAACGAATGTTATATTACATGACTCTTTATATGGCCCAGAGACACTCTATTCATTGTATATATTAATATAAATGAAATTAAAATCATTGAATTAAGAATTTTTTTTAGAATTAAACATATTTTATTGATTTGGTCAGTGTCATATCTTTTAAAATAGTAAATACAATTTTTAAAATCTCCTTGCCGTGTTCCATCAGGACTTGTACGATCATGACTCTCCACAATATGTTCTCCTTTGTAGCTTTAGACGCCTGAAGACCATATTCCTGAAAGACCAAAGTCTTGCCTGAAATTTGGTAGGCGAAACTGGTCGAAAGCCATCGGTGGTTGTACTATCAATGAGGTCATTGACCGTCGGCTTTGTCATTTCGCTATCTCTCCCAATCTCTGTTCTGGCATCCATTTACACAAGTTCGTCCCGTAGGTGACTCACAGCTTTCCTTTATCCCCCTTATCTTCAATTTGTCCTGTGAGTATCAAATTCTTCAAACCTGCTTTCCTCATATGTCCTTGAAATTACAGTTGTCACTCTGATTCTAATCACAAATGTCCTTTTTCCTTCCCATTTTCCTTAAAACTTCCTCGTTACTCACATGTTTCGTCAATGGTATTCTCAACAACCTTTTAGAGAATCACGTTTCTTTTACCTCAAGTCTCTTCCTTATCTCTGAGGAGATTGTCCAGCATTCTGTGACATATACGAGGATTGATATTGTCTAACTGTTCAGCAGTCTTCTTGGTTTCTAAGGAAAATTTTCATGTTTCGTATTAATTTGCTTAACTTTTGGAAGACGTCTTTAACTTTTCCAATGCGCATTTGAATTTCGGGGTCGCAATTTTCGTCCTTCGAATCATTTTCCAGATGTTTAAACGCGTCTCTTTGTTTGAGCTTCGTATGTGAGCAACGACGAAGATTTGGAGAAAATGGAAACTAATACTCAACGTCAGAAAGAGGCAGTTGAGGTTTCTGCGGCACATAATGAGGAAGGAGGGTTTGGAAAATCTGATACTCACAGGACAGATTGAGGGAAAGAGGGACAGAAGAAAAAAAAACGCATAACATACTTAGAGAGCTTGACTAAATTGATGGCTTAGGAGAAGTAAGAGAAAGACAAATTTTATTGACAGCAACAAAGGACAGGAAGTTGATCTTCCTACGTCCTGGGTGAGACGGCGTATAAAGAATTCGTATTTCGCATCTTGGGCCTTTTTCTCTTGCTTTCAACTGTACATTCTGTCCTCTTGAATTAATGTTTAGTCCTTTCTTCTCGCTTTCTTTTCTTAACTTATGTAGGAGTGCGTTTAAGTTCTTTTTGTGTTATTAAGATTGTGTCTACCAATTATAAGTAAAGGTAGGATTTCTAATATCATTCAACACTAGGATTGCCAGCTCTTTTGACATCTTTATTTACATTACACCGTGAAGCAGCCATCTCTAATATATTCAATATTCAAGTCAGGAATGACAAACCTGAAAAGAAGTTCACAAATATTACTATACCTCATACTGAAAGAACGTGATATTATATATATATATATATATATATATATATATATATATAAATTATATGTATGTGTGTGTGTGTGTGTGTGTGTGTGTGTGTGTATAGATAGATAAATAGTTAGATAGGGGACATAAACGCAAGTATTATTGCATGTGAGAAATGTTTCAATGCATTTACCCTATAAATAGCCTAGGTGTCAAAAACGACACCTCAGCCATTCAAGGTAAAACCTCAAATATCAGCTATTCCACTGAATATTTTTTAAAGAATTAAGTCTGTTAAGCATCTTTGCTAAAATTCAATAATTGCCCATAAGTCTCAGCATCGAACCAAAACTAGTTATTCCATAGTAATTTGTTGAAAATATGAAGGTGTCGAAAACGACACCTCGGCCATCCTAGTGTTAAGAAATAAAAGGCCTTGATTTTTTTTTTTTTACTTTCTGTACTAAACGCCATTTTTAGTTTTCAGAAAAAGGCACCAGATATCAATCATTGGTCTATGTTCACGTTTCGATTTAGTTTGTTGTTTTTAGAAGCATACAGGTAATAGCACCATTCTTTTAGTAACACCCGCTTTAATTTTTTTTATCACTGTATTCCTGATTTTCAAGTGCATTTCTCTATGAATGAAATATTTTCATCCTAGCCTTATTCTGCCAGTAACTCTTGCGCTAATTTCTGACCACTGTCAATTGCTTGCTATCCAGTGCCCAGGCGACAGTGTAATATCAAACCTTGCTGAAAAATATTTTTTGTTAAAAATAGCAAAATCCAGATAAAAATAGTTTAATTATCAATTTTTCCCTAAAGGCAGAAATGCTTTAGTTATTATTGCAGCAATGAGTGCCGCCTCCTTTTCTTTCTTAATTTGTTTCTCTCTCTCTATTCTCTCTTTCTCTCTGGTTTTCTTTCTCCACTCCCCACCCTCTCTCTCTGTTTCTTTCTGTGGCCTAGTGTCTTCACTTTCTGTCTGTCTCTTTGTCTGTTTATTTGTCTGCCTTTCTCTCTCACACTTTCTGATTCTCATTTAGTATTTCTTTCTCTCACTCACTAAGTCCTGGTTTCATTCATTACTCTTTCTCTATCTGGGTCCTGGTCTCATCCATTAATTTTTCTCTCCCCACCTCTCTCTCTCTGGGTCCTGGTCTCGTCCATTAATTTCTCTCTCTCTCTCTCGGTCCTGGTCTCATCCATTACTTTGTCTCTCTCTCTCTCTCTCTCTCTCTGGGTCCTGGTCTCACACATTGATTTCTCTCTCTTTCTCACTGGGAACTGGTCTCATTCATTATTTCATTCTGGGTCTTGGTCTCATCCATTACTCTCTCTCTGGGTCTTGGTCTCATCCATTACTCTCTCTCTGGGTCTTGGTCTCCATGGGTCTTGGTCTCATCCATTACTCTCTCTCTCTGGGTCTTGGGTCTCATCCATTACTCTCTCTCTCTCTCTCTGGGTCTTGGTCTCATCCATTACTCTCTCTCTCTCTCTCTCTCATCCTCTCTCTCTCTCTCTCTCTCTGGGTCTTGGTCTCATCCATTACTCTCTCTCTCTCTCTCTCTGGGTCTTGGTCTCATCCATTACTCTCTCTCTCTCTCTCTGGGTCTTGGTCTCATCCATTACTCTCTATCTCTCTCTCTCTCTCTCTGGGTCTTGGTCTCATCCATTACTCTCTCTCTCTCTCTCTCTCTCTGGGTCTTGGTCTCATCCATTACTCTCTCTCTCTCTCTCTCTGGGTCTTGGTCTCATCCATTACTCTCTCTCTCTCTGGTTCCTGGTTCCATCGATTACTCTCTCTCTCTTGTTCCTGATCTCATCCATTACTCTCTCTGTCTTTTTCTCACTTGTTCCTGTTCTCATCCATTACTTTCTCTCTCTCTCTCCCCGAATTTCTTTTCTTTCTTTCTCTCTCGGCCAGTCTCACGCACCCCTTACACTCCTGCTTGCCTTCCTTCATTGCTCTTTCATTCTTTCTCGTTTTCGTTCCCTTGGCTCCTTAAAAAAATCCCCTCCCCTGCTGACATTCGAGTTGACGCACCATGTTCACGCCTCAGTGATTACATCTTGCAACCCTTGCAAAGTAATAATTATAATTTATGTTCATTCCGATCCCCACAAGTAGGAAGAGGATAGGGGGTGCAGCGGAACCGTGCGTCATCAAATTCTCTTCGTATACAAACTTTCTCCCTAATTCCTTCTCCGATTCATTGTCAGTCCCTGTTTTATCCACCCTTCTCTCTCACCCTCTCTCTCTCTCCCTCTCTCCCCCTCTGATATTCTGCATCTCTCACCTTTTCCGAGCCCCACCTACCATAGGCAATAATAATTTATAGTCTCGTAACTCTCTCGTTTTCTCCGAGATTTTACTTTACAGAGTTGATTGAAGAGAATGAAATATCATATACATTCATATACATACTGTAAATTGCGCCGTACAATTCGACCCCAGGACTTTTAGTTAAAAACCAGGTTCAGATCTATACTTGTTTTAGCCGACCTTCCTTGCAACAATATTAAAATAAAACAGCGACATCACTATTATTAATAATAATAATAATAATGCCAACAGACTACATAGATCTAAGTGTATTTACCCATTGCCTTCTACGTGGCATGGATTTCAGAAAAGAATTACTCCTAGACTGGCTCTTGTCCCAAACCAGAGAGCCAGTTTACCCTGCTATTTTACCCTTAGCTGGGGACAAAATGTAGTTTCATGTCTTTCCCAAGGACGGTTGTGCGAAAGTGAACGCAACTGACTAGACAGAGGTTTGAACTCGGACGGCTTTTTCCCAAGAACCGACGCTTTGTGGAATCGATTCCCGTGTAGATGCTTCCACGAACGCTAAAACCATATCCTCTTCAAGTCGCAATCTATCCTCCTTATCCTCATCATTTCCACTTCCTACTTCTTCTTACGTTCATATGATACAAATCAGCCAGTAACCGTCTACCTTGAGTGCATCTTGAGTCTTATATTGGGTGAACATTAGGAAAGAGAAAAAAAGGTTACACCCGACGTGCTAATAAGTGTTACGCTAGACACACATTGCTGCTAAAACTTGAATTCACTCACTGCTCTTGAGAAAGGCATAAATTCAATCATTGTATTCCAAGCTATGGGTTAAATAGAATGGTAGACTAGGTTCTCTTGCGTTACGTGGCAACCATTCTAAGAGTAAGAAAGTGCATCACCAAATAAATTCGGAAATTCTTTTATCAGAGCTATCAGAGTGAGTTTGCCGAGCTCTCGTACCTTCGTAATTATCATTTGACTCATCCAACTTTTTCCGAATCCTCTTCATTGTACTCAGATTGTCACCCAAAGACACAGAAATGTCCTTATTGGAGCTTACGGACCGAAAGCCAAGCAGTACAGCATGCCGTTTCCAAATTGCTGGCGGAGTGGATTGCGTCATGGGGCTCTTTTTATTACAGACGGTGCCCAAATGTCTCTACTGTACTATGCAGTCAACAAAATCATGAACAACGCGCATGCGCGAAATTAAAAAAAACATGGCGGCAATTTACACGTCGCAACCTGTATATATATATATATATATATATATATATATAGAGAGAGAGAGAGAGAGAGAGTTGCTACTTTGGTAAGCACCTTGTATTTCCAAAATATTCACTTGGTGAATTCTTACTTCAAGACAACAAGTTTCATATAGCAATAGTATAAAGCAATGCACGTGTTTCGGTTCATGGAGTCGGACCCCAGCACATTTAACAGTTATGTTAGAGACACTATTCGAATGGAAGGTGATTCTGTGTTTTAAACATCTGTCTTCATTCTTTCTTCTGTTTCATATTTTAACTCGTTTTCTTTAGATTCAATTCGCTTTCTTTTGTGTCGACTTTTTGTACCTTTTGAGCCTCACACCAAGCAACACTTTACACATACACGCGTGCGCACACACATACACACAGGCCCTTTCTGTTGATGTGAAAAAATACATTCTCGAAATGTAATATGTCTTGTTTTAAGCAGGCCAAAATATTTCTCATGATCTTGCCGCAGATAAGGAAGCCGATTGATAACAAGAAAAATAAACACAGTTGGAGGATTCCCTAACAGAAAAAAAAAACTGAAGACAGTAAATGGCTGCGTTTGTTATATATAAAAGTGTGTGTGTATAATTTTATACTGTGTTTTTTCAGGGCGTAAGCGATCATTGCTCTTAAAACGTTTTGACACTTTCATGTTGGAATTATTATATTTTTTAATCCCTTTTAGAATGTTCAAAATTTTGGTTAGAAATGTTGTTCTTGCGTCAGCGACTGAGAATAAATCAGTATGAGAAATTTTACGTCTTTTTTGTGGTGAAAGACATTCGAAATTCTTTAAAAAAAATCATAAAATTATCGGGTTTTAATGAAACTTTCAGGACTTATTCACAAATGTTGGAAATTATTTTTGAAATGTTTTTTTTTTTTTTTTTTTTTTAGAAAATCGTGGTAAAAAAACTCTTTTTTTTTTTTTACAATTGTTACCACCCACCTATTTAATTTTTTGAAGTTTCGAGAAATTAATTTTTAATTCGTTTCATCTGTTCTGAATCATAAAATAAAAAATTCAATAAAACTAAGATATTATTTAATTAAAAAAGATTTTAATTGCTTTCATGAATAAGACATATTATGGGCATTACCGTTTAAAGAAAACACTTTTTTGATAAATAAAGAATTCTTACAAGAAATGTTTGCATTTTTTTCACATTTTAATTAGAATAATTTATAGAGCCTATCGGTTAGGTGATATTTTTAAGTAAAAACTATATTTACTAATCATAAATAGAAAGGCTTACTACAATTCATCGACCTACAATATTTTAAAAATAATTTTGATTTTTTGTGTAGGTATTGCAGATTTTTGTAAATACGGACATCTATAGATGAAAAAATAAGAGCCGTAACTATAGTAGATTTAAAATTTATTGGTAATTTTCTAAAATTTCCTCAATCAAGTAAGTAAGACAATAAAGCTAATGTATCTAAAATTCAATAAAAATATTAGTTAACTTACAATATTTTCTTAAATGTTTAAGATTACTGACTAGTTAAAAAAAGGCATTCATGTTGTATTCCTCAAGTAATTTTTACAGTTAAATGCCCATTATATAAAAATTCAAATATTAAACAATTGGTAAATCTACGAGGACTTCATATAAATAACCAACTCCTTGTTGAAATAAAAGCTTTTCTGTTATAATTTAAACGAAAAGCAATAAATATTTGTTTCGATTCCGATTAATTAAACTTTAAATCAGTTAATTTTCAACGTCATTTCTTTCCGTGTCATTGCATTTAAATCAATCATGACTATTAATCCTGTGTATTGTCTGTTGTACAGTTAAAATTTCAGATCAAAATTAAACGAATAACAACGTGTCTGGCTCAGTTTTTATTGATCCAATAATCTCTTTTTTTCCTTTTTTTTTGTTAGTAGTATACTCCATTCTTTTTCTGATTCATTTTCCAGTCTTCTGCCAATTTTACAGCAACGTCTCTTCTCTCTTTCCCAGAGTTCCCTCTACAGGTCTCTTCCCAATCTCGAATGAAAAGCTTGTTTTACACCCCCACCACGCTTGCACACTCAGTCAAGACCGCTCATATATCTTTCATCTACATATTTTTGTCCTATTAATATTTACTTATTGGCGCCTTGTATTATTGCTGTGTCCGCCAGATCTCGCTAGTCCTTACTGTCTCTCTTCTTGGCCCCCACTTTCGATTCTATCGCTTTATTAATCAGTGGACAAATGATTGAATTGTTGACCCCTCCGATAAAAATGGACGATAAGGCTGCGTCTGATTTGTCGACGCCAGCAATCAGTTCAGTCAATTTTTAAGTGTTTCTTCATCCTTCATTTTTTTTTTTTTTTTTTTCGAATCCTTTTTCCGTTCCTTTCTCCTCTCTCTCTTTCTCTCTCTCTTTCTGTTTCCATATTTCTCTTTGGTATTAAAGAAAGAAAGAAAAAAAGAACGAAAGCACGTAATCGTTGAACAACTTGTTCAACATAATCAATTGACACGATCTCTTGGCGCGTAACACGGCGTGGGGGAGTTTCTCCTCCGCTGACTCTCGAAGCTTTCTCGCAGTGATTGTTAATAGTTTTATTTATTTATTGATTTATTTATTGCTTTCATTTTTTTATTTATTTTTTATTTTATTTTACTTGGGTCCAACCAAGTTGAAACAGCCATCTGCTGTTTGACTCCTGCTCTGAAAGCTCTTATCAGTAGCTGGTCTTCATTTCCCTTGCTCGTAGATTCGAATCTAACGCCGGCTCAACGCAACGGCATAATCGTCGATAATTGACACTTCTTTTTGTTAGAACGTCCTTCTTATTGCCATTATTGAGACAATTATCTAAGAAGAAAAATAAATAAAATAATCCTCCATTCATAATGATTAAATTCTGTGTTTTAAAAATGTTCAGTCTTATGACAGACAAAATGTTTCAATACAATTT